TCTCTAGCTGTGCTCTCCTTCAATGATCAGACTTCTGCCAACACACCTACCCTGCACAGGCTTTCACTGGGAAGATCAGTGTGTCTCCTCTACCCCCCTCCCCGGCTCTTATGCAATTGAGAAAAGAGTGTATGTGATCACTTACAAAAAAGGGAAAACAGTGTATATAATGTTTTTCTTATATCTACAGTGAAGGAAATAAGTATTTGATCCCATGCTGATTTTGAATATTTGCCCACTCACAAAGAAATGATCGGTCTAAAAATCAAATGGTAGGTGTATTGTAAAACTGAGATACAGAATATCAACAAAAAATGTAAAAGAAATGCATGTCTAACAAATTATGCACTGATTTGCATGTTCATGAGGGAAATAAGTATTTGCTCCTCTTCACAAAACATGACTTAGTACTTGGTGGCAAATCCCATGTTGGCAATCACAAAGGTCAGACGTTTCCTGTAGTTGGCCACCAGGTTTGCACACATCTCAGGAGTGATTTTGGCCCACGCCGCTTGGCAGATCCTCTCCAACTCATTAAGGTTTGGTGACTGACATCTGGCAACTCGAACTTTCAGCTCCCTCCACAGAGTTTCAATCGGATTAAGGTCTGGAGACTGGCTAGGCCACTCCAGGACCTTAATGTGCTCCTTCTTGAGCCACTCCTTTGTTGTCTTGGCCATGTGTTTTGGGTCATTGTCATGCTGGAACACCCATCCATGACCCATTTTCAATGCCCTGGCTGAGGGAAGAAGGTTCTCACCCAAGATTTGACGGTACATTGCCCTGTCCATCGTCCCTTTGATGCGGTGCAGTTGTCCTGTCCCCTTAGCAGAAAAACACCCCCAAAGCAGAATGTTTCCACCACCATGTTTGACAGTTGGGATGGTGTTCTTGGGGTCATAGGCAGCATTCCTCCTCCTCCAAACATGGGGAGTTGAGTTGATGCCAAAGAGCTAGATTTTGATCTCATCTGACCACAACACTTTCAACCAGTCCTCCTCTGCATCATTCAGATGTTCAGTGGCAAACTTCAGACGGGCCTGGACATGTGCTTTCTTGAGCAGAGGGACCTTGCGGGCACTGCAGGATTTCAATCCTTGTCGGCGTAGTATGTACCAATTGTTTTCTTGGTGACCGTGGTCCCAGCTGCCTGGAGATCATTGACAAGATCCTCACATGTAGTTCTGGGATGATTTCTCACTGTTCTCATGATCATTGACACTCCACGAGGTGAGATCTTGCATGGTGCACCAGACCTAGGGAGACTGACAGTTTTGTGTTTCTTCCATTTGAGAATGATTGCACCAACTGTTGTCACCTCCTCACCAAGCTGCTTGGCGATAGTTTGGAAGCCCAGTCCAGCCTTGTGTAGCTCTACAATCTTGTCCCCGACATCCTTGGACAGCTCTTTGCCATGGTGGGGAGTTTGGATTCTGATGTTTGATTGCTCCTGTGGACAGGTGTCTTTTATACAGGTAACAAAATGAGATTAGCAACACTCCGTTTAAGAGACTGCTTCTAGTCTCAACTTGTTACCTGTATGAAAGACACCTGGTAGCCAGAAATCCTGCTGAATGATAGGGGATCAATTACTTATTTCTCTCATAAACATGCAAATCAGTGCATAATTTGTTACACATGCATTTCTTTTGAATTTTTTTGTTGCTATTCTATTTCTCAGTGTTACAATACACCTACCATTTGATTTTTAGACTGATCATTTCTTTGTGAGTGGGCAAACATTCAAAATCAGCAGGGGATCAAATAATTATTTCCTTCACTGTATACATTAATGTTTTACCTTTCATTTCTGTTTTAAACTGAATGCGTTGTTCATTCCCTAGTCCCTAGATCAGCGGTTCTCAACCTGGGGGGTCGCGACCCCTTTAAGGGTCGAACGACCATTTCACAGGGGTCGCCTAAGACCATCGGAAAACACATATTTCCGATGGTCTTAGGAACCGAGACACCGCTCCTCTGACTCAGTCGATGTGTGGGCGGGATGATACGCTGCCCTGTCACCTGGCCACACCTCCGGGATCACTCAACAGCTCCGCCTCCTCTCCGCTGATTGGCCACCGGAACTGTAGCTCAGGAGAGGCACACAGGCGGCCAATCACCGGCGAGGAGGTGGAGCTTGGAGAGGAGGAGCCGAGCGGCAGCGCGCGCGTAGATCTAAGAAGATCGAGGGAGCTGCCGGAGTAAGTGAAGAGGAGAGCGGCCAGAGAAGGAAGACAGCTGACAGGTAAGTGAGAGAGCGAGCCCAGGCTGCAGCAGGGGTCAGCAAGGTAAGTATCATTGGTGTCAGTGGGAGGAATAGTGCCCCATCATTTGTGTCACTAATACCAACGATGGGGCACTATTCCTCCCCCCACTGACACCAACGATGGGGCACTATTCCTCCCCCCACACTGACACCAACGATGGGGCACTATTCCTCCCCCCACTGACACCAACGATGGGGCACTATTCCTCCCCCCACTGACACCAACGATGGGGCACTATTCCTCCCCCCACTGACACCAACGATGGGGCACTATTCCTCCCCCCACTGACACCAACGATGGGGCACTATTCCCCCCCCCACCAATGATGGGGCACCCCCCCACTGATGGGGCACTATTTCCCCCTCCACCACCACACTGACACCAACGATGGGGCACTATTCCTCCCACTGACACCAATGATGGGGCACTATTCCCCCCACTGACACCAATGATGGGGCACTATTCCCCCCACTGACACCAATGATGGGGCACTATTCCCCCCACTGACACCAATGATGGGGCACTATTCCCCCCACTGACACCAATGATGGGGCACTATTCCCCCCACTGACACCAATGATGGGGCACTATTCCCCCCACTGACACCAATGATGGGGCACTATTCCCCCCACTGACACCAATGATGGGGCACTATTCCCCCCACTGACACCAATGATGGGGCACTATTCCCCCCACTGACACCAATGATGGGGCACTATTCCCCCCACTGACACCAATGATGGGGCACTATTCCCCCCACTGACACCAATGATGGGGCACTATTCCCCCCACTGACACCAATGATGGGGCACTATTCCCCCCACTGACACCAATGATGGGGCACTATTTCCCCCCACTGACACCAATGATGGGGCACTATTCCCCCCACTGACACCAATGATGGGGCTCTATTCCCCCCACTGACACCAATGATGGGGCTCTATTCCCCCCACTGACACCAATGATGGGGCACTATTCCCCCCACTGACACCAATGATGGGGCACTATTCCCCCCACTGACACCAATGATGGGGCACTATTCCCCCCACTGACACCAATGATGGGGCACTATTCCTCCCACTGACACCAATGATGGGGCACTATTCCTTCCACTGACACCAATGATGGGGCACTATTCCCCCACTGACACCAATGATGGGGCACTATTTCCCCCCACTGACACCAATGATGGGGCACTATTTCTCCCACTGACACCAATGATGGGGCACTATTCCCCCTACTGACACCAATGATGGGGCACTATTCCCCCCACTGACACCAATGATGGGGCACTATTCCTCCCACTGACACCAACGATGGGGCACTATTCCTCCCACTGACACCAACGATGGGGCTCTATTCCTCCCACTGACACCAACGATGGGGCACTATTCCCCCCACTGAAACCAACGATGGGGCACTATTTCCCCCACTGAAACCAATGATGGGGCACTATTCCCCCCACTGACACCAATGATGGGGCACTATTCCTCCCACTGACACCAATGATGGGGCACTATTCCTCCCACTGACACCAATGATGGGGCACTATTCCTCCCACTGACACCAATGATGGGGCACTATTCCTTCCACTGACACCAATGATGGGGCACTATTCCTCCCACTGACACCAATGATGGGGCACTATTTCTCCCACTGACACCAATGATGGGGCACTATTCCCCCTACTGACACCAATGATGGGGCACTATTCCCCCCACTGACACCAATGATGGGGCACTATTCCTCCCACTGACACCAATGATGGGGCTCTATTCCTCCCACTGACACCAATGATGGGGCACTATTCCTCCCACTGACACCAATGATGGGGCACTATTCCCCCCACTGAAACCAATGATGGGGCACTATTCCCCCCACTGACACCAATGATGGGGCACTATTTCTCCCACTGACACCAATGATGGGGCACTATTCCTCCCACTGACACCAATGATGGGGCACTATTCCTCCCACTGACACCATTGCTGGGGCACTATTCCTCCCACTGACACCAATGATGGGGAACTATTCCTCCCCCACTGACACCAACGATGGGGCACTATTCCTCCCACTGACATCAACGATGGGACACTATTCCTCCCACTGACATCAGTGATGGGGCACTACTCCTTCTACTGACACCAATGATGTGGCACTAGTCCTCCCACTGCAAAATTACAGTTATGAAGTAGCAACGAAAATAATTTTATGGTTGGGGGTCACCACAACATGAGGAACTGTATTAAGGGGTCGCGGCATTAGAAAGGTTGAGAACCACTGCCCTAGATTGATAAATAGACTTCGGTACAACCAGCCTGCTCATACTTGGATTGAATTTCCATCAGTTTATGGCCAGCTTAACACTACCTTCGGGTGCTCCTCATTACCTTCTGTGTCTGCCTCTTTTAGGCCAGGCATATTGGAAACTGACTCTGGTAGAGATGGAGTAGCTGGAGAAGATGCTTGCTGTTTTGTAGCCCTGGACAGAGTTGGCTGTATTACAGTCATTAGGTTGTCTGAGAAATTGTTACATAGATGGAAAAAAAAAAAAAAAAAAATGTGCAGAGACCCCAGGGTCTATGAATACTGAGCCTGTGTCCTGTACGATTAACAAATGTTTTTCTAAAATCCGATTCCATTAGGTATATGAACATAATATATCTATATATGAAGATATTATTCCCAAACAAGAAAAAAAAAAAAAAAAAAAAAAAAAAAAAAAAAACTTACCAAAACTTGATAAGGCTTGCTTCAATTCCTCCTTGTCAATAAAACCAGAATTATCTCTGTCATAGGTCCGAAATATATTCTGCCAATCAGTGATGTATTTCCACACCCCAGTAAATTCAGTGAAGTTCACACCACCTTTGCACTCACGGTCAAACATTGCTGAAAGAGAGCATAAAGATACATTGAAAAGTTTATATAATCAAGAAACAACTGCACAAAAACATTACACTTTTCTGCCATTCATTTTAGTATATCTTTGTATACATTTCTATTACAGACCAGATATTACGCTTATATCATTTGTACAACTATATATATTTTTCCAAGCTCACAATCCTCCATCCTAGAAAACATTTATCTGATCCAGATTCCTACAAACCTTTATTGGTAATCTTTTGTCACCAAACATTCTGCTCCCTGTCACAAACATTTTACAACAGTATTCAGTGCTTACCTTCTCTTGTATACTTTCTGCCCAACTTCTGTACTCCCTTGCTTCATCTCTCCTGTTTCCTTTATTCATAGCCCATTGTCATTTTGTTCCTTATCTGTGCTTATTCCTGCCTAGAGTTACTTATATTCATTATATTTATTGTACTATATGAACCCCACCTAGGCTATTATATTCACAGAGTTTTTATATACTCATAGTATTTGCATGGGCTTCCTCCTAAAATGTAAAAACATAATAGCAGGGTAACTAGATTCCACTCAAACTTTATGTATGAGATAGGAATGTTAGATTGTATACACCAATGACAGACCAAGTCTAATGTGAATGTATCATTCATATATTGTTAAGCATTTCATGATGTGTCAGCAATAATATTTACAGGAAAGACATACCTGAAAAAAAAAAATGCACTTACCACAAATGACATAACAGTATACGTGACCTATGGTTTTTACAATATTATAAATGTAAAGGCAGTAAATATAGTAGGAGGAGGTTGGAGACATGGGGCATATACTGTATAAAAGAGGAACAAAGAAGGCAACAAGTACAAAAAACAAAAAATGCAGATCTAGGGCCCTAGTGCCCAACAAGCAGGTTTATGCAAATCTCTACCTCTAAAAGGCTGCCTACACTTGATATAAACACATTACATTATCTTGTACATATGATCTCTGCATTGTAACAAAGGGGAAGAATATTGCATACATACGTTTAGCAAAGCAAACAAACACAGAATCCAATACAGTACAATAGGTTGCCCAGGAGGGAAAACTATCTCTTTGTACTTTTAGTGAAATGTGCATAACTAGAGTGAATGGAAATCAGGTCTACAAATATATCTTGCCAGCTTTACATCAACTGCACCCTTCTGTAAAATGGTCTGTATAATCTCTGTGATTGATTTTTGTACACCAGGGGATTGTTTTGTGATTCAGGATATGCGGAAGCATACGACAGAAGTGTTCAATCTGACACAAATTAAAAGCCTGGTCCATCAGCACCGTTGCTCTCCCTTTATCCACTGAATTGACAGGATGTGAAGGAAGACAACAATACAATATTTCAAACTAATCATACAAAAAAAAAAAAAAAAAAAAAAAAAAAAAACACCACACACTCTTGGAGTCTGTGACTTGCCACACACTTTGCAGTCTGTAACCACAACTGGACAAAAAGAGATCCCATGTTTTTATAGAGACCTCTGATTATCTGTCAAACTGAAGATGTATTCATATCATATAATCATAATTAAGGATTCCTCTCTCATACAGTTGTGCTCAAAAGTTTGCATACCCTGGCAGAAATTGTGACATTTTGGCACTGATATTGGAAATATGACAGATAATGCCAGAAAGCTGTCTTTTATTTAAAGATAGTGGTCAAATGAAGCCATTTATTATCATATAGTTGTGTGGTTCCTTTTTAAATCATAACAAAAATCACCCAAATTGCCCTGACCAAAAGTTTACATGCCCTGGAATGTGTGGCCTTGGTACAGACACACAAGGGGATACAGACAGGTTGAAATGGCTATTAAAGTGTTACTAAACCCACAACAGTAAAATCAGCTTGTATATGCAGTAAAGCTTGTTACATTCACTGTGGAGTCCAAGGGGTTAATCCTTCACATCGTGGAAGGCTCCATGCAGTTTGAGATACAAAGAAAAACCCACAGATAACCTCAAGAGAAATACAGACTGCTCAGGAAAAAGATAGTGTGGTTGTTTCAAGGAGCAGAATACAACAATACTTAAACAAAAAAGAGCTGCATGGTTGAGTTGCAGGAAAAAAGCCTGTGCCACTGTCACATAAAACAAGGGTACAATATGCCCAACAACACCTTTACATGCCTCACAGCTTCTGGCACACTATAATCTGGGGTGATGAGGCTAAAATAGAGCTTTATGGTCACAACAAAAAGTGCAATGTTTAGAGAGGGGTCAAACAAGGCCTACAGCGACAAGAATACAATCCCCACTATGAAGCATGGTGATGACTAACTGATGATTTTGGGGTGTGTGTGAGCTCTAAAAAGGCACAGGGAACCTTGTGAAAATTAATGGCAAGAGTAATGCAGCATGTTATCAGAAAATACTGCCGGACAATTTGCATTTACAATAATAAAATAGCGTTAGTTTTAAATTTTTTATGTCACACGATATCACAAAGGTCTAGGAAACGCACAATTTGAGTAAAAAATACACTTGCGTTAATTTTAGGGCACAAAGCAATAAATTATCCAATTTTTTGTAAAATATAAAAGATGAGGTTGCGCTGAGTAAACAGATATCCAACATGTCAAACCTTAAATTTGCGCACGCTCATGAAATGACAACAAACTTTTAGTACCCTATATTTCCTATAGGTGGAGCTTTTAAAGACCCTTATAGGTCATCAATTTAGCATTACGGAGGAGGTCTGGTGCTAGAATTATTGCTATCATTCTGGTGTGCACGGCGATATACATCCTGTGTATTCCAATCAACGTTTTCATGCTTTTAGGTTTGTGCGTGTGTACATACAGTATGTGGGGGTGGAGGCCTTGAAAAATTTGGAGGGGGGGGGGGGTTATATGCGTGGGTGTAACTTTCATTTAACAAGAAAAAATTTTACTTAACATATTCTCTTTTTTGAGACATCCAGGGTCTAAATGCAGTGCACGTCGCACACATAAGCTGTTTTTTATTGTTGCAGAAATCAAGGGTTTTTTTGCGATTCCTCACAACAGAAAAAATGCTGCATTTTCAGACGCATAGGGTTGCCATTAAATAAAAATGGCAGCCTTGCACATTCGCAAAACAGCAGTGTTGTTTGGCTGTGGGTGGTTACAGGTACGGAACAGATGCAAAGTTGTCCTGCACCTGCAGCCAACCACATGTGTGAACCTAGCCTTAGGCATCTGACCTGTTGTCTGGCAGGGGTGTCAATTACAAGACTCACTAAACACAATTACAGATCTTCTGGCATGTAAAAAACAATATTTCAACTTTGTATTTAGCTGTGTGAATAAAGTTCAGCTTTCTTAATTACTTACAGATGATGGCTCTAACAGTAATAGGGTTGAAAGGCGTCCATGTACCTGGAAGAAAAAAAAAAAAAATGTCAGCAATATTTAGAACAACATGTAAATAAAACGATTACTTATTTACTGGTGCATATAATGCAACAATCCTATAAAATTTACTGTGAAAAGATTAATGCTTTGCTAATTGCCAATATTTTTAGTTTTTTCTAAAATGACAATGAGCTCAATACACAATTTAATGTGGTTGTAAACCCTTACATACTGTATACCCAATTAAGTGACTGGCCTCAGGTGATACACAGAGATTATGCAAATCATCCTACATAAATTTCACCTGTTTGTCTGCTGTCTTCTATTCTCTGCATCTGTTCAAAGTGCTGAATTTATAAAGATTATCTGAGCTTTCAGAAAACAGTGGTAAGACAGCTGAAGTTACACACTGCAGAGCTCAGTAAGGAGAGATCCAAGAACTGACTGGAGGGAAAGAACACACAACCCCTTCACACAGCATACAGGAACAGAGCTGAGGTTTGCCAATAGCTTACCCACGAGCAGCAGCTCTTGACAAAGCGACCTAATCTTGTGCCACTTCCTGTTTTGGGGTGTGAGCGCGCCTGTGCCCCCCGCACCAAGTAAAAGCACTACATTTTACACACACATGTTCCATTAGCGCATTTAACCCTTTGATCGCACCGTCACCCAGCCAGTGCCATTAGTACAGTGTCAGTATCTAAAACTTTTCACTGATCACTGTATTGCTGCCACCAGCAACATCAGATAACATCAGGGTCAGTAAGAGCCCCTCTCAGCCAGGGTCAGTTAGAGTTAGATTGCCTGCACACTATAGGTCTCTGACCACCCCCATTAATAGTATAGTGTTTGTACGGATCAAGATATTGATCATGAACAGAACTATACTAGTGCCTGCTTTGTATAGTGTCCCCAAAAATGCAGAGTTGGCAGGATCAGCCCAGTTCGCTGCCAGCTCTAGCATTTAGCCCCTTCACTGTTTTTCACGGAAGATTTGAACCAATTGATTTTGGGCCAAGGCAATTTATATGCACAACAATACATAGCCGTCCACCCACATTTAGCTCTTGCCAGACAATTCGCATGGAAACCTATCACAGTTTCTGAATTTAAAACTTTTTTCGGACTTACATTCAACATGGGCGTTACAAAAAAGACTGAATTGTGGTCATATTGGTCCACAGACCCGATTCATCATATGCCTGTGTTCTCTGCTGGTACATATACAGTGGGGATCGAACGTTTGGGATCGGAAAGATGGAAAAATCTCCAAAAGGCACAAATTACCACATTCTTATAATATGTCAACAAAAGTTAGATTTTATTTCCATCATTTACACTTTCAAAATAACAGAAAACAAAAAAAATGACGTCTGCAAAAGTTTGGGCACCCTGCAGAGTTAATATCTTGTACTGCCCCCTTTGGCAAGTATCACAGCTTGTAAACGCTTTTTGTAGCCAGCCAAGAGTCTTTCAATTCTTGTTTGAGGTATCTTTGCCCATTCTTCCTTACAAAAGTCTTCCAGTTCTTTGAATTTCTGGGCTGTCTGTCAAACTGTTTTTAAGGTCTATTTGGCAAAACCTTCAGTTTACGCTTCTTGATGTAATCCCCCGTGGATTTCGAAGGATCATTATCCATTTGTAAAGCCATCCTCTCTTTAACTTCAGCTTTTTCAAATGGCATCAAGTTACCATCCAAAATTTGCTGAAATTTTATTGAATCCATTTTTCCTTCTACTTGTGAGATGTTCCCTGGCCACTGGCTGCAACACAACCCCAAAGCATGATTGATCCAACCCCATGCTTAACAGTTGGGCAGAGGTTCTTTTCATTAAATTCTGTGCCCCTTCTTCTCCAAACGTACCTTTGCTCATTCCAGCCAAAAAGTTCAATTTTAACCTCATTGGTCCACAGAACTTGTTTCCAAAATGCATCAGGCTTGTCTATATGTTCATTTGCAAAGTTCGAACGATGATTTTTGTGGTGAGGACGTAGAAGAGGTTTTCTTCTGATGACTCTTCCATGAAGACCATATTTTTACAAGTATCTCTTTATAGTGGAATAGTGTACCACAACTCCAGTGTCTGCCAGATCTTTCTGGAGGGATCGTGCAGTCAAAAATTGTTTTTCTCACAATCCTGCGAGCTGTTCTTTGATATTTTTCTTGGTCTTCCAGATCTGCTTTAACTTCCACTGTTCCTGATGACTGTCATTTCTTAATTACATTCCGAACAGAGGAATTTGACATCTGAAAACGCTTTGCTATCTGCTTATAGCCTTCTCCAGCTTTGTGAGCGTCAACTATTTTCAGTTTCAGTTTTTTAGACAACTGCTGAAGAACCCATGGTGCGGATTGTTGGGGCAAGGTCAAATGAGTCTGTGCATTTAAACCCTTTGAGATTGACATCACCTGGTCTTCCCAGATGATGATTGAGAACAATCCATGACGCTGGCAGGTTCAGCTTTGCAGAGGGGGCAGTGCATGCTATAAATTCTGCAGGGTGCCCAAACTTTTGCAACACCATTTTTTGTTTTCTGTTATTTTTGAAAGTGTAAATGATGGAAATAAAATTAACTTTTTTTGACATATAAGAATGTCTAATCTGTAATTTGATAGGAGATTTTTCCCATCTTTCCTTGGCTTCTTTATGCACATTAATACAAATTTTTAGCTGGGGTGGCCAAACTTTCGATCCCCACTGTAAAGTATAACTAAAGGCACTTTTGTTTTTTTAATAGTTTTGTATAGAGTAGAAGGAGATAGGAACTTGAGGTTTTTATTGCTGTCCATGTCCCCGTTATTAAGATTCATTATCACCACAAGTGAAATTGAAAGGAAAATCACAAATTTTGGGTTGTCACCAAAACAGGAATAAAAGAGAAACCTTCCAATGTGGACATGAATTCTGGTGACAACCATGGACAGAGAGGGTGGGACCCCTGTCCCTTAATGAAATAAACTGATTTAACTGATGTTACATCAAATGAAAAGATTCTATTCTCTTTAGTATCCATTGAAGAACACAATTTAAAGACTGGTATGTTCAAAAGCAGTCTAAATGAGGGGTGGACATCAGCAACAGAAACACTATCAGGCCCACAAAAAGAACATAATGCTCCTTTCACAGGATGACTGTCATCAGAGCAGTGCAGTGTCACTATGGCAGTATTGTACAGCTCTGCGCAATAGTTATTGCATTTGCATGGTGGACCAGGGACGCCTGGATAGGAGAGGCGGCACATAGAGGAACCGGGCCGTGCATTTCTCAGCTCCTCTCTGTGTCACCCAGCTGCCCCTCCTAGCCATCTCCTGCATGCTGTGTATTCTGTATGCTCCCCCCCATCTTCTGCAGCGCTGCTACCAGGGTTTCCCCTCCCTGCGGCTGTTGCGGGGATCTGTCAGAATATGTGCCCAGTACTGACAGTTCCCTGTCCACCACAGACGGGAGAGGAGAGAGATAACTGCCCCTCCTCCTCCTGCCCTCTCTTCCCTGCCCACACTCCCCGCCAGCCTTGTGTCTCCTCCCCCACCTCCGTTTTCTCTCTCTCCATTCTTTCGATGCTTCTCTCTTGCTCTCTCCTGTTTCTCTCTCTCTCTCTCTCGAGAAATATAACACACCTGCTCCCCATTCACACCTGAGACCTTGTAACACTAACGAGCCACATGACACCGGGGAGGGAAAATGGCTAATTGAGCCCAAATTTGGACATTTTCACTTAGGGGTGTTCTCACTTTTGTTGCTAGCGGTTTAGACATTAATGGCTGTGTGTTGAGTTATTTTGAGGGTACAGCAAATTTACACTGTTATACAAGCTGTACACTCACTACTATACATTGCAGTGAAGTGTCATTTCTTCAGTGTTGTCACATGAAAAGATATAATAAACTATTTACAAAAAAAAAAAAAAAAAAAACTATTTCCCCACCATCCTTCCCTCCTTCCTCTTTTTCCTTTTTGCTTTCCTTTAAAAAAAATAAAAATAAATAAAAATATCAAATTGTAAAAATTGTAATAAAAATAAAAACCTACTGACACTAGTGGCAGAACTACCAGCTTCGCAAAGGCTGCCCTTGCGACCGGGCCCTGGCGTTCCGCCACTGGGTTCCAAGAAAAGGATCCCCGGGACCGGGCTGCTCAGTCCAAAATGCCCAGGCCTATTTTTTTATCCCAGTCTGGGCCTGTTTGTAGGTCTTCAAAGCCAAAAGTTGATCCAGTTTCAGGATGCTAGGATACATCCCCATAGAGAATTTCCTGGAGCAAAAATCACTTGCACCACACCAAGCAAAGTAAAACTTTTAAATTTGATGGTAGACCTAGCAGGAGCAGACATCTCAGTCTCTAGTATCATGAAAATCACCAATTTGGAAATGTCCCTGTGTTTCAGGTCCTGGGTGTCAACAGCCATGCCATTAAAGCTAACAATTGTGAAGCAAGATGGCAAACTGGCCCCTGTAACAGAAAAAACTAGACCATCTGAAAGAGCCTACAAGTTGTCTTCCAGTAATAGGACAAAGTCACAGTACCACATCTGCCTGAGCAAATTTGACTTTATTGGGATCATCAGGATGCGTTCCATTCTTTATCTCAAAAATCAGACACCAAAGGGGAGGAAAGGCATAGATCAGTCAGTACTGACCCCAAGGAGCCCCCAGAGCATTAACTGCTTCCACCCGAGTATCCTGTACCCACATACAATCCTAATATGTTTTCTGCTAAACAGAGACCACGATGACCACATCCAGTGTCCACCACCAGTGACACGGGTCGTGGAAGACCTTTGAGTTCCCCGACTGCAGAGCTCGATTCCTGAGTCACCAGACAAGGGACAACCTGGTCCTTGGTGCCAAGAAAAAAAAAAAAAAAAAAAAAAAGAGGAGGAGATCAGTCTTGTCCAACAAGCAATTGAATGTTGTGTCGAAGGAATCCAGAGTGAAAATCGGAAAAATGCAGAAAAGGGCAACCCATGACCTGAAGAGTTCAAGTCTGGGATCACAGAAAAGAAAACATGACTGAAGCCATGTCTCGAGCAAGATCCAGATAACCCAAACGATTAGTCAGTTTCAGCTCTGACTTCTGCAGCTTCAGAACCCAACTTTATCAAGGTGTGGATGGCTCGAGCTACATTGGTTGGTCAGAAGCTGATCAGACTACTCCCTCAGTAAGAGGTTGTCCAGCTACCCCACAATAACAAGGTCCCGGGAATGAAGCAAAGCTACTACAAGAGCCAAAATCTAGGTGAACACTCAAGGTGTAGAGAATAGGCTGAATGGTAGGGCACTGATGGGCCGGAAAAATTTAAAAGCTCAGTAAGGAAACAGCTTGGAAGGAGACTGAATTCCTTCTTGTGGCTTTAACCCAATCAGCTAGATTGGCAAACTAGCATCAAGGCCAAGGCAGGTTACAAGGCAGAGAAAACAAGGTTTTAAAAGATCACCAATGGCTTAAATCGATTGGATCCTTAAAGTGTCATGAAATCCAAAATTTCTGTTTATATAGATTTATTTATTATGATGATATTTTCCTGTGTGCTTATGCTTGCCTTCATTCATCCATTTATTTATATTAAATACCCGGTTGATCATACAGTTTGCTCACACTTTCCTACTAGGAGTGGCAATGCTATAAACAACTGATTCCCCAGCTGTTGTGTTGCCACTCTTATACGCATGCTCCCAATCCTTCATGTAAGGAAGCCATTTACTTCCTCATTTGGCCTCTGCAATCTGGTCCACCTGACTCATTAGCTTGAGGAAAAGCTCCAAAAGGTTGACACCCCTGTCCCCTACTTTCTACCTCACGTGATCAGTCGATTTGTAGGGCAGCTCCAACAAGGGATGATCGATGAAAGCTTTTTCAAGCATATGCTTGTTGGGAGGGCAAGTGAGAGACTGTCAGCAGAAACAAAAATTGTTTTAAATTGATTACAGTTTATGGTTTGGATTATAAATGGTGGTTTACATTACATTTATTTACTCTTTATTTTATACTGGAATTCTATTTTTTTTTTTCCCCCAAACCAACCAAGGATACTCCGTGTCACTTGAAATCAGGAGCAGCAGCAAGAATTTCCCTGGTCAACACTGAAGAGAGCAAGAACGCATGCAACACTCCATGCAGCAGATGACATCAGCGTTAAACCCTTCCGCAGTGAACCAACATAAAAGAGGGGATTTTAAATGGTGCCCATGGCCCTAGCAATGAGCTAGCGCCTGGTGCTCAGCCCACACCCTCACAAAGTGAGTCTTCAGAGACAGGGTGATAGCTGGGGCTGTGTCATGACTTTAGCTGCTGTGCAACTAACTAAACACAGTACACTTAGGTCTGGAGTGCACCAATCCAGAGCCCAGTCAGTCAAGCAAAGCCTTGATATGGCCTCCAAACTAGTGGTGAGGATGCGCCATTCCAGATAGCTTCATATAGAGAACAGTTGAAGCAGCTTGAGGAAGCTTAACTGAAGAAAAGGTAACCTTTGTTGAAGAAAAATAGCTAGGAAAAAAAAAAGGTTCGTGTTTCCCTTATAATAGCAGAGAAAATATGTCAATCCTCTTAGGGCACTAGCAGAAACAAACTGAGCCATACTGGGAGTGGGAAACGTTTTGCTGGAATAAACTGTTCTTTGTGTGCCAGTGTTTAAAGCCTCATGTAATTACAATACAACCCAACAATCCATGAATTGATTTGTCCCTCAATAAATGTTCAACAAAAAACTTAAATGCCTCAAAACAAGCCCTGGCACCAGTACTGTGTGCCGGCACCAGTCTGAAAGAGGCAAAAGCAAGAGCTTGTGGCGTTTGAAATATAGCATATGTAGTTTCATGTTCATTCATGTTGCATTCTTTTTTGTATTGTTTAGTTGTGGCGATTTCATGTAAATTTGTTGTAATTGTATGTGCATTTGCAAGTAATTTATATATTATTTACTATAGAGGAGGCACAGCTGTGTCATGCTATGTAGAGCAATGTTAAATTGTCTAAAAATGTACAACCCAGCTAGTACGGCTTTAGTTGGATAAAACGTTCAAATGTTATACACAGTAGCCAACAGGGCTTTTAAACAAGCCGATCATATGCATAGCATTTCAGCAGATACCTAATAATGTAAAAAGCACGTGCTTTTCATGTGAAAAATAACATGTTAAATGCACTGTACGCATACATTTATAGCCTTGTACAGGAAATACATAAGCCTATTTAATATTCTATTCCTAGATTGTAAGCTCTAACGAGCAGAGCCCTGTTTCCTCTTGTACCAAACTGTATTGTAACTAATGTCTACAGTTGTAAAGCACTGCGCAAACTGTTGGCGCTATATAAGTCCTGCATAAATAATAAATAATATTATAAACAATGCAAAATAAACTCATCTCACCATTGGATAATGCTTGCTGAAGTTCATTATCGGATATAACACCACTTCGGTCTGTGTCCACTCTGGGGAAAAAAACAAACAAAAAAAAAAACATAACTGATATAGACTAAACTGTACAATTATAGATATATATCCAACCAAAAGGTTTTTTTTTTTTTTTTTTTACACAGGACAGAAAAGGGAGGGTGAGAATCTCTGCCAATATTTTTTTCACAGGATTTCCCTTTTTGCCACAAAGATGTTTCAAGGAAGACACATGCAGAAACTCCTTAAAGCAAAAATATTTCCTGAGAGTTTTACAAAACATTTTTTTTTCCCCACTTTATCAGGTAAGAGACAGAAAGCATTGAATTAAGAGGATAGAGATGACATTCAGTAAACTAACATTTCAGAATAATAAGTAGCAATGGCAGCCTCCACCTCTTTCTCAGGAAACAAGTGGGCAAGGGTTAGACCCTGGCAAAGGTATTCCCATGCCCTGAATCGGGTCACCCTCACAGAAGATTGGGAGCCAAACACCAGCAGAACTTGGTCTTAGTCTCCATAATCTACACACTTTCCAAAGGAAAAAAAGATGGCTGAACATTTCCAAAGAAAAATTCAAACACTGGTAACTTTATTTATTCAGATAACAGGAACAGGTCCTCTACAAATAAGCCCTGTCATGTAGGTGAAACTTTAGGTGAGGCGGTCTCAGCTGGGGACTCTAATTGTGTTGTCCAAATTAATAAAGTCACCAGCATTTGAATTATTCTGGGATCTTTTCCTAAGAGTTACATGTGAAAATGCGGACTGGGTATCCCAAAAGGCTGCATTAGATGGCCAGGCAACTATGTTGTTCAGAAGTCCTAGGTCGGTCATGACATTTTTATAGAATAGGGAGCACACCTCCATAGCCTTTTAATTTAAGCCACATTGTATAAGGGTCTGGAATTTCAAAAGGACTTGCTATCTCAACTCAGAAATAGCAAAAACCATTCTGCTGGCCATTAGATAGCAGATAATGAACAAACAGGGATCTGCTAAGCTGTAAATAGCGAATTCAATGTTTTAGCAGGAAATCTATAATAGAACACTGCAGCATGTCAGAGTTTGCCTTTAAACTCCATGTCGGCAAACATCTCCCAAATTAAATCAGCACTTCCCATTGAGGGAATTAGGATTAGCCATCGTAAAGTTATAAAAATTTATAATTTTGCCATGCATGGTTTGCAGGGTAATTAAACCCATTAGGAGTACATGGAGGGCAATAAAATGTCTTATCTAGGGCTAAGTGATATATAAAAGGATATCTGCTAGCCTTTACAATAACAATTTCCCCCCAATCATAAATAGTTTAGTTTGACTAAATAACATTTCTGTCTATCTCGTCCTGAAAAATCCAAACTTCAGTGTATTTCATTATCCCGAGATAACAGTACTGAATAAGGGCATACTGTATTTACTAGTATCAATTAAGCAGCAGCATTTTAAGGCCAAATACAACTATATTAGAAGGTATGGGAGGCAAACTGAACACATTACTTCTCCTGGGTGAAACAGTCATCCAATACCCATCATATTTGGATTCATTAAAAAAGTAATTTCATGCTGAACAAAATATACAGTACAAATAACTAGATTGTACCCTGTAGGTATTTAAAAGTATTATTACCTATAGAAAATTGTATCTGTGGGAGGGCAGCTATATAGTCATAAACACAGTGAAATCTCATTAGCCACACCTCAGAACTTTTGGTTGGCCAGATCAGTTTATTTTATTTTTTCGCACTATAAACAAAAAAAGACCGAAAATTTTGAAGAAAAACTATATTTTTTACTTTTGGCTATAACAAATATATAGTAAACTCAAAGTTAGTTACAAATTTAGGCCAAAATATATTCTGCTACATGTTTTTGGTAAAAAAAATCCCAATAAGTGTATATTGATTGCTTTGTGTGAAAGTTATAGCATCTTTTATACAGCTTTTACTTTCTAACTGACCATCACATTTCTTGAGGTGCTAAAATACCAGGACAGTACAAACACCCCCAAATGACCACTTTTCGGAAAATAGACACCCTAAGCTATCTGCTCAGAGGCATACTGAGTCCATGGAAGATTTATTTTTTCCCACAAATACTTGGAAAATATATATATATTTTTTTTTTTTTACACAAAGTTGTCATTTATCAATGAACAAAATTCCGCACCCTATCACCTACCAAAATAAATCTACTATACCCAAAAGAAAAGTAAACTTTCACCCTCGAAAGTATAAATACATATAACTAAACTCTTCTATGAACATATGTACATCTATCTCAATATATATAATACATAAATTAATTCGATATGAAAATAATAAAGTAAAAAAATACCAAAATTATATCAGCCTAAATAACCCAAAACAATGTCCCAAAAAATGTCCAAAGTGTCTCTGTAAAAAAGTCTTCCAAATTCTCAAGCAAACTCGTAGCCCTCTTTAATCATCCAGAATGGAATATCCAAAATTCTTCGTGAACCTCAAAGAAATAAACCTATAATAGTGTATTACCTTTAAACTGAGCAAACATACAAACTTGTGAAAACCGTGTATCATGCCAACTGCATAACGTGTACTCACACGTGAAAAAAAATCTCTCTCCCTCCTATATATATATATATATATATATATATATATATATATATATCTCTATCTATATCTATCTACACACATACAGACACAGTATATATCAATCTCTCAATAAGTAAATATATTTATTAGGTATGGCGGTGTGTACCAGCTAAGAGGGGGTAATGGGTTTATGAAGGAGTCTAGCAGGGTATAGGTACACAGTTGTATGTTTACAGTATGGATTGTATGTTATATTAATGTTCTTATAGGGATTCCAGTGTTCGTATAGTGAATGAGAATGTAGATATACATGCGGCCATTTTTCCATATAGCAAAATGGCGGTTTAGATTTCCGGCCCTTGGTGTGGGACAGAATATAAGGAACCGCCTCTCAGACATCTTGATCCCTTGTGAAAAAGTCCATGAAGTGATGAAACGCGTCGGCACACGTGACGCTGACGCACTCACGCAAACCGGAAGTGCGGACGTGGCCATTTTTGAAGTGGGAACATGCGGTTCTCTATACACAGGACTACACCAGAGCTGTTTCATATGTTGGAAGCTGATAGTCTTCAATTTTAATGTAAGATATTTAATAAAGATGTGTATATTTTACTATATACCCGCTGATTATCTCCTATCTCACCTTATGAGGATTATGGAAGAGTGGCAACAGGAACATTAGGAAGCCTGGAGAGGGTTTATATCCACTGGTTTAAAGCCTGTCATTTATTTCCAGAGTGTAATTATCCAGTGTTGCACCAGTTGGAGGAGATCAATTTTATGTTTCACTAATATCCACTGGTTTAAAGCTTGTCATTTATTTCCAGAGGGTAATTATCCATTGCTGCACCAGTTGGAGGAGATCACTTTTATGTCTCACTATTATTGAGTGTGTGTAGTGCTCACTATTAGAGTTTTGGGGTATTATTCCTTTCACTATTTGGAATGATCACTTATGTCCCATAGTTTGAAGTTGGAATGGTCACAATTTTGATTATCATCACGAGCAGATTTACTTATTGATTGAGATTTTATATATATATATATATATATATATATATATATATATATATATATATATATATATATATATATATATATATTATATATAGGGGGTCATTTGGGGGGTGGTGTTTTGGTGATATCCTGGCATTTCAGGGCCTCTAAAACCGATAGGTAGTCAGGAAGTGTAATGAGGAAATAAAGTCCTCTAAAAGCCTGAAGGTGCTTATTGGATTTTGGGGTCCTGTACTTGGCTAGACTGCCAAAAAGTCTCTCAAAAAAAAAAAAAGCCAGTAATTAAATTTAAAAACCGGCAATGACATATAGTGACAGCTAGTCACTGTATACACTGCTCCTCTCCTACCTTTCTCAGCCACCCCCTCACATCTGCAGTATACACAGTCTCCTGTATCAGCTAAATTTGTCCTATCGGCATTTTCGGACGGTCTGTTTCGGTGGCCGAAATTTTGGTGCATCCCTAGTGTGAACCAGGCCTAATAGTATGAATCAACACTGAGTGAGGAGATACAAGGGTTAGTATTGAAGCATGAATCACTACTGCCTATGTGGGATTACCCCAAAAAAAAAAAAAAAAAAAAAAAAAAAAAAAAAAAAAACCACACACAACAAGCACAGGACAGTGGCTACCAGGATTTGTCTGGATCTTTTTTAAGTATATACTTACACACAAACACGCACACATTACTTTGTGTTTTGTGTAAATATGTCAGTAAAATATGACTAGGAAATATTGATCGCAATGGTGAGTTGCTGTAGTATGCTGGCTCCCAGATATCTTCGAGATTTGTCAAGGCCTGGTTTGATCACTTCAAAATTTAAATAGTTATCTACATCACAAACATATCTGTGTACCTAAAAAAAATTTGATCTGTGTGTGGAAAAGATTCTCATTACACAATTCAATTACTACATTATTTACCAATTATGCAACAGAGTCCACCTGTGTGTAATTTAATCTTGGTATAAATACAGCTGTTCTGTGAAGCCCTCAGAGGTTTACTAGAGAACATTAGTGAACAAACATCATGAAGGCCAAGGAACACACCAGACAGGTCAGAGATAAAGTTGTGGAGAAATTTAAAGCAGGGTTAGGTAATAAAGAAATATCCCACACTTTGAACATATCACGTAGCACTGTTCAATCCATCATTTAAAAATGGAAAGAGTATGGCACAACTGCAAACCTACCAAAATATGGCCGTCCACCTAAACGGACAGGCCGAGCAAGGAGAGCATTAATCAGAGAAGTAGCCAAGAGGCCCATGGTAACTCTGGAGGAGCTGCAGAGATCCACAGCTCAGGTGGTAGAATCTGTCCATAGGACAACTATTAGTCGTGCACTCTACAAATCTGGCCTTTATGGAAGAGGGGCAAGAAGAAAGCCATTGTTGAAAGAAAGCCATCATGTGGAAGAAGGGGCTCTGGTTAGAAAAGACCAA